TTGTAGCCTATTACAAAATCTACAACTTTGATTCACAAAGTTTTCCCAAAAGAAGCTTGTAGCTCAAGTTACAAATTTTGGAACAAGGGTACCAAACCATTCTTAACTTAGAGAAAATTTGACCTATTTTAGGCAAGGTTTTTACCTAACTTCAAGACCATTTTTCATATGCTTCCACTTGGAATTTCAATTTGCATTTCAAAGATGGATTGTAGTACACATTCCAAGCTTTCCAAAATATCCAAGAACTCATCAAACAACCTCATGGTTAGGGAGAATCGAATTTGGCAATATGGGAAAAACTCACTTTTGATTTGGCCAATTTACATGTTCATACATTTGTGCCATTTTGAATTCAGCTTGCTTTCCTTGATTACAGGCCTCTAAACCATCCAACACTCAATAATTTAATGCCAATCCTTTGTGCTAAGATGTTGTTCTATGAGTTTGGACATTGTATGCAAGTTTAATCCATTTTTAGATAAAGCATTATATCCATTCTTGAAAAGTTTCACTTTATGTCAAAATGCAAATCCAAGCAAGTACAGTTAAGATCTCTTTGGAACAAGTTTAGGGACTAATTGCACTGATCAAGACTAAGTTGTGCAGCATAGATTGGGGGCCTCTACCTGTCTAGAACACCAACTTGCCATCTCTTGCTTAAAGTGTAAGAAACTTGCCATAACACAGACCATCTATCATTCCTGTAAACCAAGCCTTAAGCAAAGTTATCAAGCACATTCTAAACATCCATTCTGAGCTAGAACACGACCCTAACATCTCCATTGCCTCCCCATTCACAGAATCACCATTGAACTGCCCAAAACAGGGCATCCCTGCAACTTGAATCCCACAACTCATTTTCATCGTGCATCTTGGCCAAAACCAGTTCAAACACTTTCCTTACCATCAATCCAAACTATCCAAAGCATTAGAAGTGGACTGTAACTCCTCTAATCAGTTTGGCCATTTTCATTTCTTCCTCTTGCAGGTTGACTTCTGCAGCTTGATACAGAAGGTTTCAAAGCATACCAAGTATTGGAATAGCATCCTCACACTTCAAGCAAGCTGTACAAACCATCATCTTGCCCTGAAAGCTCCCCCATTGCCAGACACGATTCCAACTAAACAGGTATATTCATGAACTTCTAACTCTCAATGTAGGCATTGTTAGCTCTAGGTTTGTGAATGAAAAGTGTTCTACTCATGCCCCTGAAACTGTACATATCTTTACTTTCCATTTATTTTGCATATGCTATGAGAATTTAAGGTCTGAACATTGATAAAAAGTCAGGTTAAGATTTGGGAATGGAGAAATTCTCTCTCATTTCTGAGAGTTAGGATGAGTTCTTTACATGTCCAGAATCGTGGCTTGATGCTTAACATTTCTTATGTTGTAAGTTTGTGCTAAAAGTCAAGGAATTCAGATGTTTGAATCAGTGTACAGGCGCGCGTTTTTGACAAAGTTTCTGGCTGGAGGTTGAAGAAGCTCCACGTGGGCTGGGCCTGTTTTGCTATTTCTTTTCACACCATGTTTTTACTTTTACACCCCCTAGGCCCATTTTGTTTATTTTTATGACTTTTTGACTTTTTCTTTTTTGGTCTGACTTATTTATTTTTTCTTATAATATTAAAAATATAAAAAATATTTTTTACACCATTTTCATATTTATTAGGTATTTATTTGTTTAGATTAATATTTGTACATAAATAAATATATAAACATACTTTTATTTGAAAAATACTAAAATAATGCAAACACATTTTATTTTCCATTTTTATTTTATTTTATCTTCTGAAAATATTTTATATAAAATATACTTTTTTCATAAATATTAAATATTATTATTTTGTATATATTTAATATATTTATCATATAATATAAATATTTACATATATATTAGTATATTTAGGTTAAAAATACAAAATATATACATTATATTTTTTATTGATATTTAACATTAAAAAATACCTTTTGACCAATATACTTCATTTTTATTTTATTTTTGTATATAATAAATGAATATTGTATATATTAAATAATTAATACATTTTACTTAATAAAATTAGGGTTTGCCCTAAATACATAAAAACTCCAAAAAATAATACTTTTTTATTTTGTTTATTTGACACATAAAAATACTTTTTTTTTCATACATATAAAAAGCCTTTTTGCATCTTGCATATTTATTTTATTTCTATTTAATTTGTGCAATTAAATATCTTGTAAATAATTCAATATTGATGTAATAGTCTAGGTTTAAATTCCTTGTCAAAATACCCCCCATTTGAACATTTGTACCCCTCTTCCCATATTGTGTTGTAATAACTTAGGAACTTTATTTTTTCGCACTTTAATGCTTTCTAATTATGCCATGTTAGAATTAGGGTTTGTATGCGAGTCAAAAACAACAAAAATAGTTTGACCTAATTTCAAGATAAACAATCATGAAAATGGACAACACAAATCACACTTGCACTCCTAGGGTATTCCACTTGTTGCCTTCAATAAATGGGCCATATTGCATGTTAGGTCTCTTTGGGCAAAACAAAACAATTCAAATGATCATAGTCCCTCGATGACACTTTCGAAAGTTGCCTAAAAATGATCAAGACCCTTAAAGGAAAAATTGTCCAAAGATACTTGACACCATTGTAATTATGGTCTAAAACGATGACCCGCGCCCGTCCCTTTCACCTCCTAACACAAGATTGTCTACCAAATGCAATGGTGGAACAAAATTGTTAAAAGGGTTAAAACATAGAAGAAATCTTTGAGAAATTTAGGAGTAGACAACCTCTTAGTTACTTGAATCAAACTTGCAAAACAAAACACTTGCCTATTTTCTAAAACCACACCTCACAACACTTTCAAAAACAAACTTTCAAAAACAAATGAAAACCTTTTCAAAAGACGTACACCTTTGTATACATCCCAACATGGATCATTACAAAGGTTGCCACCATATTGGCCTCTTTTCAAATACATTTTCAAACCCACACACACAAAGCACCATTTCAAACAATTGAAAATTAAGGCAAGTTGATCTAAGCAAGTAACTAAGAGCCCATGGGTAACCATGGATAGAAAGGGTGCTAATACCTTCCCTTTCTATAATCTACTCCCCGAACCCAAGAAAACATCTCAAAGGTTTTTGCTGTGCTTTTTAACCTTTCCTTAGGATAAAATAAAAAGTCGGTGGCGACTCTTGCTCAACCGAAACATTTGCGAAAACAAACGCAAAACCAAGTCAGTTCTCCCACCGTATCACAGGTATTAATATTTTTTTCTTTGTTACAATTTTAATACAAGATACATGATTTTATAAAAAATAATGCTCACAAAAATTGGTGGTGACAAATTTTGATTAAATGATATTACAATGAGGTTAATCTATTATCTATCTATAAAAATCATAGTCCCTGGAAATTACCACAACACCACAGCTGAAAAAATCCATTGTTGGTCTATTGTATTGGGGTAAAATGGGAAACTCCAAAATATCTTGCACCACATTGATTTGAATCTGATGTGGCACTCCCACAATTTTTCACCACATTTTCAATTTTTTTTTTCAAATAAATCCCACATATTATACTGTTTTTTAAAATAAAGAACCAATTCAATTTATTGTGCAGGCAGCGTGAGAAACCCAACCATGGGGAATACCAATTCATTATTCCTTGCCATTCATTGTGCCTCTCTTCCTCTTCCCCATGCCAAACCATTATGCCTCTCTTAATCAGAATTCAAATTCAAATGGAACACCAAAAGTTTTTCACTCTTCCTTCAATCCTTCCCCAACAGAGATTGGGACGTTGGCGTCGATGTTGTGGAGATATCAAAAAGCAATAGCAGGTATCAAAAAGCATCAAAATTTCGAATTTTTAATGGTCTCTTTTTAATATATCCATCTATATGCTTTTGTTCTATATGATTAATCTGGTGAAATTGAGAAATAAATATACTGTGTGTGCAGGCTTCAACTCTACATTGTGGCTTGGAAATGTACACTGCAGATACTTTCTGGTTTCAGCTTCATGTAACCTTTCCATTTACTAATTGCTCTCACCTTCTTTAGGTTGGAAAACGAAGGGATGTTGGTTTAAACCATATTGCCCTATTTGAAGGGAAAGTAGCGGGTGGTATTGGAGAGCAAGTGGTTAGCAGGGATATTACAGGCTAGAACATTGTTGTATTAATTATTAACTGCAATTTTTTTTGTTGTTTTTGTTTTGGTTACAGGGTGTAGAGTGTGATTATAGGCACAATGAGATTGTGAGGCTTAACCCGAGGGATTGCTGGTACTGGTTATCGGTGAATTGTCTTAATCTGACTTGTGCTTTTCGACATCCTGTGAGTTCTTCATTACTGAAACTTTGAATATGTGGATTGGAATGAGTGAAACTTTGATGTAAATGTTGACTTAATTTGTGTATTTCAGGTTAATGTTTACCGATGACTTGAGTTCGGCTACGGCGCGATAATGTGGCTGAATTAGTGCATTTGTCAAATACTGTTAATGTTTCTTCGCTTCAACTCACGGAGTTTCTGCTCTTGAACAAATTCTGGTCATTGGTTTTGTTTCGAAATGGTACTCAACTGCTAAAGCTTTCCTTTAAATTTTATCTTTTGTAATGATAACTTAAGGGTTGATTTCACATTTCATGCAGCTTATCTATTATCTATCTATAAAAATCATAGTCCCTGGAAATTACCACAACACCACAGCTGAAAAAATCCATTGTTGGTCTATTGTATTGGGGTAAAATGGGAAACTCCAAAATATCTTGCACCACATTGATTTGAATCTGATGTGGCACTCCCACAATTTTTCACCATATTTTCAATTTTTTTTCAAATAAATCCCACATATTATACTGTTTTTTAAAATAAAGAACCAATTCAATTTATTATGCAGGCAGCGTGAGAAACCCAACCATGGGGAATACCAATTCATTATTCCTTGCCATTCATTGTGCCTCTCTTCCTCTTCCCCATGCCAAACCATTATGCCTCTCTTAATCAGAATTCAAATTCAAATGGAACACCAAAAGTTTTTCACTCTTCCTTCAATCCTTCCCCAACAGAGATTGGGACGTTGGCGTCGATGTTGTGGAGATATCAAAAAGCAATAGCAGGTATCAAAAAGCATCAAATTTTCGAATTTTTAATGGTCTCTTTTTAATATATCCATCTATATGCTTTTGTTCTATATGATTAATCTGGTGAAATTGAGAAATAAATATACTGTGTGTGCAGGATTCAACTCTACATTGCGGCTTGGAAATGTACACTGCAGATACTTTCTGGTTTCAGCTTCATGTAACCTTTCCATTTACTAATTGCTCTTACCTTCTTTAGGTTGGAAAACGAAGGGATGTTGGTTTAAACCATATTGCCCTATTTGAAGGGAAAGTAGCGGGTGGTATTGGAGAGCAAGTGGTTAGCAGGGATATTACAGGCTAGAACATTGTTGTATTAATTATTAACTGCAATTTTTTTGTTGTTGTTTTTGTTTTGGTTACAGGGTGTAGAGTGTGATTATAGGCACAATGAGATTGTGAGGCTTAACCCGAGGGATTGCTGGTACTGGTTATCGGTGAATTGTCTTAATCCGACTTGTGCTTTTCGACATCCTGTGAGTTCTTCATTACTGAAACTTTGAATATGTGGATTGGAATGAGTGAAACTTTGATGTAAATGTTGACTTAATTTGTGTATTTCAGGTTAATGTTTACCGATGACTTGAGTTCGGCTACGGCGCGATAATGTGGCTGAATTAGTGCATCTGTCAAATACTGTTAATGTTTCTTCGCTTCAACTCACGGAGTTTCTGCTCTTGAACAAATTCTGGTCATTGGTTTTGTTTCGAAATGGTACTCAACTGCTAAAGCTTTCCTTTAAATTTTATCTTTTGTAATGATAACTTAAGGGTTGATTTCACATTTCATGCAGCTTATCCCAGTATCTGGCTTCTGTGAAGATGGTAGGTTATTTGAAGGTAAATTTATTTTTTGTAATGATAACTTAAGGGTTGATTTCACATTTCATGCAGCTTTATCCCAGTTAGAGAAAAATTTGACAGCAACTACAGCTTCACATAACTATGAGCAGATGATGCCAGCTGCTGATGCCTCAGGTGTTTTGTGCTGGTGTGATACAGGACACTCCAAAATCCATTTCTTAGATTTTAAAATATATTTGCAACATTCTACTGAACCAAAATGGTGTGGACTAATGGCATTTCAACAATCTGTCAATTGCTGTTATGGGATAGTGTTCTAAACAGCTGAGACTTTTGTTGCAGCAGGTAAGTAACATGAAATGGAAGCTGATTGTAAAATGTTTGGTTTACAGGTGAATTTGCGTGAAATATAATATAATGTCTATGTCGAAATCTGTTTTTTATCCATTTGTTATGACATCTCTCTGCAGGCAGCAATTGCAATTGCACCGAGACTTCGTACCGCGAGCGTTTTCTTGCAAGTATCCTAACCAAGTAAGTCTATATTCATATATCATTCTATTCAAATTAATGTTTATAGTTCTAGCTTCTGATGAAATACTAATATATTTTAACGTGTTGTGTTCAGGTTTCATTTGATTTGGTAGAAAAGTACCCAGAGGATTGATTTGGTAGAAAAGTACCCAGAGGATTATAATGGTTTTAGAGAGAATGCATTATTTCAAGACTATCATCGACTTATATCTATCAGAACTGCAATGGCAGCCTTCATGGAATAAGTAAGATGTGGTAGCCCCAAATTCGAGCCACAAATAATAGTCATTACTCCTGGAGCAGCTGCTGCTAATGAACTCTTAACCTTCATGAAGCCAAGAAGAGAAGCAAAAGAGCTATTTAACCCAAATTATCAACACTGCTTCTAACAACTTTTTAACCTGCTCAAACATCAACAACCTGCTCAAGCATCAACAAGGAATGTTTCATTTCAAAATTTTAAAGATCGATCTTTGATTCATTGATGATCTTATTTAAATGGGATTGTGATTTTTTATGGTTTTTGATTGAGATTCGATTTTGTTTTCAAATTGGTTATAGAATTATGGAGATTTGATTAGAATTTGATTTGATTCATCATCTTGGAGTTCAAGTTTATACATATAGAAAGATTAGATGTAATAAGGAATATTTTATATAATAGGCTGCTATGCTAATTTAAGGGTGCATTTGGAAAAGCTTTTGATGTAGCAGGTAAGTAACATGAAATGGAAGCTGATTGTAAAATGTTTGGTTTACAGGTGAATTTGCGTGAAATATAATATAATGTCTATGTCGAAATTTGTTTTTTATCCATTTGTTATGACATCTCTCTGCAGGCAGCAATTGCAATTGCACAGAGACTTCGTACCGCGAGCGTTTTCTTGCAAGTATCCTAACCAAGTAAGTCTATATTCATATATCATTCTATTCAAATTAATGTTTATAGTTCTAGCTTCTGATGAAATACTAATATATTTTAACGTGCTGTGTTCAGGTTTCATTTGATTTGGTAGAAAAGTACCCAGATGATTGATTTGGTAGAAAAGTACCCAGAGGATTATAATGGTTTTAGAGAGAATGCATTATTTCAAGACTATCATCGACTTATATCTATCAGAACTGCAATGGCAGCCTTCATGGAATAAGTAAGAGGTGGTAGACCCAAATTCGAGCCACAAATAATAGTCATTACTCCTGGAGCAGCTGCTGCTAATGAACTCTTAACCTTCATGAAGCCAAGAAGAGAAGCAAAAGAGCTATTTAACCCAAATTATCAACACTGCTTCTAACAACTTCTTAACATGCTCAAACAACAACAACCTGCTCAAGCATCAACAAGGAATGTTTCATTTCAAAATTTTAAAGATCGATCTTTGATTCATTGATGATCTTATTTAAATGGGATTGTGATTTTTTATGGTTTTTGATTGAGATTCGATTTTGTTTTCAAATTGGTTATAGAATTATAGAGATTTGATTAGAATTTGATTTGATTCATCATCTTGGAGTTCAAGTTTATACATATAGAAAGATTAGATGTAATAAGGAATATTTTATATAATAGGCTGCTATGCTAATTTAAGGGTGCATTTGGAAAAGCTTTTGATGTATTTTTCTTATGGTTAATAGATATAAACAGTAGTAAATAATAACAATCAATAATACTAATAATAATCCGACTATTTAATGATATAATACTTATAGACAAAAACTAAAAACTGAAATAAAAATAAAGAAATGGTTATAAATTAAAACAATAAAATAAAAGAAAAATATGAAAGAACTTAAAACTAAAATTATTGATTTATCATATTTGATGATAATTTTCTAAAATGAATTATAAATTTTTTTTTAACTAGCATTTTTTTAAGATATGAATTATGTAAGATTTTTGTCAACATCCCAAATTATATATTATTAACATTGTTTTATTTTAATTTGATTTTTGTTTATTTGTGGACTTTTATTAATTAAATAATAATCAGTTAAAAAATTCGTTTTTAGCGTGGACGTTTCTTTTGCTCTTTTTTTTGTTTAAGTTGATTTTTTATTATTTTAAAATAAAATAAAAATTAAATCCTTTTTAATTTATTTGTTGATTTCATTAAATAAAATATTAAAAATATTAAGTTTAAAAAAATTTAAAAAAATTTAAAAAAAATATTTGAAGGATGGGGCACTCCTTCCACCTTTTGTAAGATAACTTTGTTTTTATTTTATTTTATTTTATTTATTTTTTATTCATTTAATTTATTTTGTTAATAAATTTTAATTACTAATCAATAAATAAATCATAATATCTTTGAATTTGATTTTTGTATTCCTTTTAAAAAAATAATAACAAAATAATAATCAGACTTTTTAGAATCCTGTCCCTTTTCCTTTTGTAGGATTTTCTTTTAAAAAGTAAAATATTATAGAAAAATAAGTTTTGTGTTACTTTAAGATAGAAACAGAATATTAGAAGAAAAAAAACTAACAAAATAGATTTAAGTGTCATTATCAAAATCCATTGTTGGTCTATTGTATTGGGGTAAAATTGGAAACTCCAAAATATCTTGCACCACATTGATTTGAATCTGATGTGGCACTCCCACAATTTTTCACCACATTTTCAATTTTTTTTTCAAATAAATCCTACATATTTGTGTTGAAAGACATGCAATTGTCAACTGCAGAACTGACAAACCTCACATTAATTGAGATTGAGAATATGATGCAATCAAATAGAAGAAGCTTGCGTGAATTCAAAGATATGCCGTTTCTAGATTTGTATATAACGCGACATGTCGGCAATAGACTGATTTTTGATGAACGTGATTACGATGCTGATTTAGAGCGACAAAACTTCCAGAATCTATTTACATCTCTAACAGGTATTTCCTCATTATTCAAATCATCGATGTTTTCATTAAACTACTGTTGTATTGATTCTTTTCATTTGAACGTCAAGATGAGCAACGTGCAATCTTTGAAACCATAATGGACGTCGTCAAGAAACAAAACGGAGGGGTGTTTTTTTTACATGGATACGGCGGAACCGGTAAAACGTTTATGTGGAGGACATTATCAAGTGCACTTCGTTCAGATAAAAAAATTGTTCTGGCTGTTGCTTCAAGTGGCATAGCTTCCTTATTATTGCCAGGTGGTAGAACAGGCCATTCGAAGTTCAAAATTCCCATTCCAACGCTTGACAACTCTACTTGCAATGTTGACAAAGACTCTGAGCATTCACAATTATTCGAAGCTACTGATGTCATAATATGGGACGAAGCACCCATGGCTCATAAGAATTGTTTTGAGGCCTTGGATAAGACCCTTAAGGATGTCATGAGCGATAAGGGTTTTGCAAATACAATTTTTGGTGGCAAGGTAGTTATATTTGGAGGAGATTTTCGACAGATACTTCCAGTTGTTCCAAGAGCAGACCGTTCTGATATTGTTCATGCTTCCATTTGTTCTTCTTATGTGTGGGACTATTGCCAAGCCTTAACACTAACCAAAAACATGAGACTAAAGAATGGGAGGGACGATACAACTTCTGATGAACTTGCAGAATTCTCTAAATGGATATTAAATGTTGGCGACGGTAAAATATGTGAACCTAACGATGGATTAGCTGATATAGAAATTCCTCCGGATTTGTTAATTTCCAATTTTGAGGATCCAATAAGAGCTATAGTTGAAAGCACATACCCAAATTTGCTTGCCGACTTTCAAAATGTAGAATTTCTACAAGGAAAAGCAATACTTGCTTCAACCATTGAAGTTGTTGATAAAATTAATCATTACGTGTTAGACATGATACCGGGTAAACTATTTTTTCTTTTGATGTTTATTTTCGTGTAGATGTTTCGTTATTAAATTATTCTTGAAAAAACATTATGGATTGATTCGCGTTTTCCCATTTCTTAGGTGAGGACAAAGAGTATTTGAGTTTTGATTCGATTGATAGAACTGATTCAAGTTACACCGAAGCCTATGAATGTCTTACTCCAGAATTTCTTAGCAAGCTTAGGACTTCAGGTGTCCCAAATCACAAACTCAGATTAAAGGTTGGTACACCAATAATGCTTATGAGGAATTTGGACCAAAACGATGGTTTGTGTAACGGAACTAGACTAATTGTTACAAGGTTGGCAAATCACGTTATTGAAGCAAAGATCATGTCTGGTAAGAATGTTGGTAACATCTTTTACATCCCTCGAATGTCTATGTCACCTTCCGAGTCACCGTGGCCATTTAAGTTGATTAGGAGACAGTTCCCAATTATTGTATTGTACGCAATGACAATTAATAAGTCTCAAGGCCAATCACTTGATACAGTTGGATTGTATTTGCCTACTCCTGTATTCAGTCATGGCCAGTTGTATGTAGCCATTTCAAGAGTTACAAGCAAAAGTGGTCTGAAGATCTTAATACATGATAGTATAAATGTATCAACATCTATCATTATAAATGTTGTATACAAAGAAGTTTTCCAATCTCTTTGTTGATCGGTAAGTACATAATAACAAATATTTTCTTTAATATAAATTGTTTCCGTAAATGCTGTATAATTTTTGCATAATTTATTGTGCGGGTCAAAAAGTTGAAAACATCGTTTCCAAGCTGGTTGCGTTGTATCTGAAGACTCGTGATAGTTTCTTATTTTGAAGAGTCATCACAGTTTCTTATTTTGTTACACAATCATGATTTCAGTTTACATTTTTTAATGTTGTCAAATAAGTTTGATACACTGAATTTGGCCGAATTAGATGAACTTTTATTGAATTACATAAAAACGAATTTACTGTTACATGACAACATTAGTTCCACGTTTTATGAATTCTCGACCGGCCCCGTGCGACAGCACGGGTTATCGACTAGTGATAATTAAATAAGATAATCAATAGTTATTTTTGTACAAGTTGACTCATTAATAAAATAGTTTTTACAACCTATAATTAAAAATTTCTATTTTATATTATATATTTTACTTAGATTAAATATTTTTTATTTTTCTATAAGTAAAAGTTAATTTTCACTTCAGCTTATAATTAAGAAGATTACCAAGACATTATTTAGAATTTAGATCCTTTCAATCATGTTTTACCCCAATCTCACTCAATATTTAATAAAAATCATTTTATTAATTTAATGATTAAATAATAAAAGCATATATGTTTAGAGAAGCACTGAGATATAAAATATTAAAGAGAACAAATATCTTTTACCTAAAATTAATCATGATTTAATTATACATTTTCAATTGGTTTAATCTTCTAAAAAATTATTAACCTAGCTAAAACTCGTACATCTAATTACGAAAAATACAATAAACATATGATCGACAAAAAACTATAAATTATAAATTATCAAAAGGAAAAACTAAATATACAAAATAATTCCAAAATTATTTTTATCTAATGCTTTAAAAATCGGCCCAACATAAAAAAAACAAAAATGAAGCCTTAATTATATCTTTTAAATGAGAATTCAAGAATGCAACATACAATCATTATCGTTAGATTTAAAATTATAAAGGATAATAAGGAATATATAAAGTTTAAGAAATTCAAAATGAAATGGCTAATATTTTGTTCTAATTATATATAGATGTGCCATTAGTTAATAAGTAAATAAAAAGATATAGTTAACAAATCAAATCATATAAATAAGTCTTAAAAATAAATTTCATGAATTAAAATAAAATAAAATCTAAATTTATAAATAATTATTATATATGTCTTAAGTCAAACGTTTCAAATCAATTTCTTGACGATATTCTCTTACGCCATGTATCCTTGTCCTATGAATATTATGACCTCTTTCACCCAAAGATTTCACTACATATTGGACATTATTTTGGGTCATTTTCTTTCTTATTACTGTGAGCTTGCATATGTCCACACAAACCCTTAGCAGTATCAAAGATTCGATTACATCGTTTTGTGTTGCATTTGTATTCTCCATTCATTGTTTAAATGAATCAACAAAAAAATAATCAAATTTGCACTAATTTAGCGAGAGATAAATCAAAGAGTATATATA